ACACTCCCTTGAAAGGATTTAGGCCCTAATAACTCTTTATAACATATCAATAATAATAATAATAGTTAGCCTTTAAAGGTTTCACTACAGGTTTCCTCTCATAATGAGAGGGCTGCAGTTTCCACGCGTCCCCAATACATGTTGAGCCCTCGTGGGAACTACAGCCAAACACATACTGCACAGATATCATTAAATTGCTTTTGTGTGCAGGTCTCTTGACGATGTTTTCCTTCACCGAAAAGCTCGTGGTAAATTTCCAATAAAAAAAAACCGTCCACAGAGTCAAGGTTTGAGTGGCACTACAACTGCTATTTTTAAACAGTAATTATCAATTTAATTTATATAAGTATCGTATAATGAAGCCACATGTGATCATACGTCAAACATACTTTTCTCCCATTAAAGTTTTTAAATAACATGAGTATCATAAAACAAATTAAGTATAAAATGTAAAATTTTATAACTTAAGCGTAAAAAGACATCGACTTATTTATTTCTTAGAATCTTCAAACCATCTCAAAAGTTAAAAGCAATTTTGCAGATGTGGCACTCCAAGGGTAGGCTTTTTTATGATACCAAGTGGAGAGACGGGACAAAATGTGCGCCTGATGGTAAGTGACACGCCCGTCCATATCAGTTGCAGTGTCACTAAGAACTTTAAATCGCAAATATCTTAGGGACACTGCCATTGCACCCGTCGCCCTGAGATATACAGGGATCTAAATTTGAGAAGGGGCAGCAAGGCCAGCTACCTTAATCGTTGTAGTTATAGGGAAACGGTTCTAGAAGACTGTACATGAATTTTGAAGATATTTTGATTGGCATGTACAGATTTTGAAAAAATGGTACAGTCAGCAAGGTAAAAGGCAATTTTTACAAAAACAATTTATGCCATCCGATCCGGTCTCTGGTAAGGATCTATAGTCTCTATGGGACCAACTGAGGTAAGAGTACTCGAAATGGCAGAAACCGTGAAAAATCTTTAACTACTACGATTAAGGTAGCTGGCCTTGCTGCCCCGTCTCAAATTTACTCCCTGTATGAAGTTGACAAGTCCCATGTGCCTGTAATTTCACAAGCACCCTTAACCCTCCAAAACCGGAACACAGTAATGCTGACATTACTGCTTGGCGGCAGAAATAGGTAATACCTGCTCATTCGTGCTCTCCTTGTTGAATAATTCTCATTTCTTTTGTTTTCTTGGGAGTTACTTATACAATAAAATCAATAATATTCTTGGAATATATTCGTAGAGTAGATTGGAATACAAAATCAAAACTACGAACTGGTTGTTTGGTCTCAACTTCCAGGACACAGAGGACCTCTTGTCTGTGCAGGCTTAATGCCTTGAAGGGACCCGTGTCTCTGAATTAATAAGAAAATGCACACTGCAACATACGCACGTACAAACAAATAAATAAAAAATAGACAGATACGCAACATACACAAACAGATACACAACACACACATACACACACACGCACACGCACGGGCACGGGCACGGGCACGGGCACGGGCACGGGCACGGGCACGGACACAGACACAGGCACAGGCACAGGCACAGGCACAGGCACAGGCACAGGCACAG